CAGGGATTTTTATCCTTCTTGGCCAAATGACAGTTGCCTCTTGATTGATAAGCTGGGTAGTGAAGTAGCTGTTGGTCCTCTTGTTGATGTATTTCCAGTTCAAGAAGCCATGTAACATATGGTAGGATTCTAAATGAGTTGAACTCTACATATGTGATTTCATACACTGGTTCTTTCTTGGTGGTTATGGGATGGTGATTTAGACTACTTTTTTTTTTTTTTTCAGTGAAGAGAAGCTGATTTTTGCCTTGTTATCTTATCCTATGAATTTTCAGTTTTGCCAATTCCCACACATCAGTTTAATTTTTTGGTTAATTGGTAGTTACAATTAATATTTATAGTCATTTTTCAGACTAGAAAATGTAGGCCTTAAAGCCTTCTGTATTTATAACCAGTGAATACATGACATTTCAGGGGAAAATATCCTGAAGCTTTTGCTGACTTTGCTGATGATACCACAAAAAAGCAAGTAATTACTTTCTGGTTGTTACTTTTAGTTTATAATAAATAAGTACCAATCTCATGCTGAACAAAGGAAATTAACTTTTTATAACACCAAGAATTTATCTGATAAAATTCTTTCCATTATATTTCATCAAAACATTTAATTTTATTTTTATCAGAATGTGTATTAAAGATTATGGATCTAAACATATTTATTAAAATATTGAAGGGAAAGGAATAAATATGAGAAAAGGATAACATGGAAACAAAGTCTTTACAAATAGGGATGGCTGGAGGGGTTGAAGGAAGGGCAGGGGAATGGGGAAAAAAATAAGAACCGAGATATATCATGTAAAGGTACAAATTCCCAATGATGAATGTCATCATCCTGTATACCTAAAATGTGCCAATAAACGTAATGAATAAATAAATAAAAAGAAAACCAAAATATTGGATCTGATGTGAAATGAATATTTAAAAAGTGTTTCCAAAACTAATTAAAATGTTTATATAATCATATAAATGGAAAAGATTTATTCTAAATCAATGCTATAGAATATATTTATCAACCCTGCCCTTTTCATTCAGTAGCGAGTACTGTGCATTGGATCATATAAATTGGGTACAGGGAACTGGCATTTGCCATATTACATAGTCGCTAGAAATGGAATATACTTGACTTAACCTGAAATAACTGTGAGACACAAATAGGCATTGTGGACTAGCAAGCTGATTATCCAGGTTATTCCTAACCCATCCCTCCTTATATTTCCCTCAAATGTTTTTGAAATTTCTAAAGTATCTTTAATAAATTCAGTGGTTTAATCACTTATATACTATTATTTTATTTAACTTTATTGAAAGATGCCTGAGTACCTTGCAGTCATTTAGGGCTTTCATTATAAGATATTTTCTCTATAGCCTATGTAGTGTCAGAAGTAGAGTTGTTAAATTGTCCTGGAATTTGTGATTCATTAAAGTGTATAAATATAGTATCTAGGTGTCTAGCTTTATGTTACAGCATTGATGAATCTGTTATCTTCAAAGAATAGTAGAAATTTTATTTTTCTAGGTTATATGACTAGACTGAAAAATAAATACAGTACAGGAATATATTTTTACAGTATGGGTACATGAAATATTACCGACAGAGACCTTTCATAGTGGATTTTGTAGAAATTTTGTGTGCCTATTTATATTAAATTTAGTAATGTCTACATCTATTGCTGCTATATTTAATATTTAAGTCTTTATCTTTCATTGCTTGATAGATCTTCTTGGTTTGCTAAGAACATTGATATTCTGATTATTCCTCCATCTGAATAATCACTAAATTTAATAAATTGGTTTCATCCACAACATAGCAAGATTTTTGAATGAGCAAATATAATTCATTGTTCAGTTTTGCAGCTCTTTTTGAACCTGTATTGGTTTTTGTGCTAGTACTAATAAGATGGGCTAAGTCGCAGACAGTAAAATGAGTCAAATTGTTACTTGAAGAAATGTATGAGTTCCTTAATTTTTTTTTTTTTTTTTGTACCAAGGATTGAACTTGAGACCTTGCACTTGTGAAGCAGGCAGCAGAACCACTGAGCTAAATCCCCGGCAAGTTCCTTAATTTTTTCAGTGCAGTTAAATGCACTTATGAATCCAATGATGACAATAAAACATAAAGAAACAAAACAAAACAAAGAAACAAAACAAAACAAAAAATTTACCAAATTTTCTATATACCTCTTATTTGTTTTGAGAGTTAAGGAATTTTCAAGTAATATATAATAATTCATTTTGTATTGCTTGTCTTACATGACAAGTGTGACTACTTAAACTAGGTCTCACTGAGTTACAAAGCTGTCCGGGCTGGGCTTGAACTTGTGATCCTCCTGCTTCAGCCTCCCAGAGAGCTGTCATTACAAGTGTGTGCCATCATACCTGGCTTCAAGGATGAATATTAAGAGGCAGGAGCAATTGTATTAACTCAGGGCAATTCGTAAACATAAAGTAAATTTTCTGAGCAAGAATTTTGCTTGAGCTTTGTATATCCTCACTTAACTCACATCTACCCTAGACATGAGACACTATTTTCCACAAGTACACACATAAAATACTTACTCCTTTATTATCCATAATGTGCACTTGAAAACACTGTAAAGATAATAAGGCACAAAAGGTTCAGAATACATATTGAGTATTATCCAATCATCTGGGAGGAGCAGTACTTTAACAATTTTGAAAGCAGAGAGGTATTTCCAATAGCAACAAATGAGGATGAATATCTATGATGAAGTCTGTTATATATGATTTATATGCATATATATGTACAAATACACATATACATATATGTGTGCATTTTTATGAATAATGAAAAAGACTATATGCTAAATTATTAACCTCAAATAGAAGATTAGGAGTAAGAAATAAAATGTACATTCAACTATTACAGTTTAATTTTCTTCAAATAAGATATTATGGCTGTAATCTACTAGAAAAGTTTCTTTTTCCTTGCTGATTGAATCATGGTTTTGAATTGTCAGTAGTAAACAAATTTTGACCATAAAATGGCAGATATCATACTTTTGCTGTTACTTTTTAATTAAGAAGAATTACCCACCGCTCATTCATTTGGAAAAAGTCTTTCTTGATAAACAATGTAATGTAAAAGAGAACCTAAAGAAAAACCACAATTCATTTTTGTACTCTTTGAAATCATGCGTTTGAAAGGCTAAGGCGGAAGTCAAGTATAGTCTCCCTATTTGTACATAAATCATAAGCTTTATTAATAATGGTTGTCTCTTTACTGTCCTCGTAAACATAATTGCCAGTAACTTAGCACCCAGAAGTAACCTAGCAACGAATCAGCTCTTCAGCAAGTAAGAAATGAATGGAAATTATGGAAGAATTTTGTGGTTTAAGAATATTGACACATGTATATTATTAAAGCTTCTAAGTTTTGAGAAATTACATGACAATAATTTTTAAATTTCGTACAAAATTATACTATTCCCTGCCTCCTTCATTCAGAATAAAAAAGGAATGGATTTCAGACGCACTGCTGGTAACTAGGCAACTGAATACATTATTTTCCCTGGCAGCCTATTCATGGCAGGTTAGACTATAAGAGTTTTGGCATGCTATTGCTTTATGGTAGGTGAGTTTACTAGATTTAGTTTTACCAATAAACCTTCTTGACAGTGATACATTGCTCATCTCGTACATTGTTTCACAATAAATATTATGATTTATTTTCAAAGGGTTGTTCATATAATGATTCAGTTTATGAGTGTCAGTTTTGGGGAATTACAGAAATTTCTAGTTTGTGTTTCACATTTTAACTTTGATATATTTAATTACTGGTTTCTGTTGATGAATTTTAAATTTTGTATTTGCCAGTTATTTTCACTGGGAAAATAATTTTCCTGTGCTGTAGTTGTAACTTCAGATTATCAGTTATTAGAGAAAAGCTCCAACTCCATAGAAGCACCATTTAATGATGAATAGCCCCAGGTAGAGAGAGAAACACACACTTGTAAGTACCTCCCACTAAATTGTACAGCAATTATTTAGCCCTTATAAATTTGACAGGTAGTTCATTTCCCTTCAAGAAATTTTAAGTAAAGCACAGCAGGTTGGGGTATGGACTGAACATATGACTGTGCATTTAAAATAGATGCATAAAGTTATAAACTAGAAAGCATATGCTCTATAGTGGAATACATTTCTCCCCAAATGCCCTCAATTTTGTATTAGTTTTAAAATCTAACCTTAAATGACTGTGAATTGTTGCCGCAATCACGATGGAGATAACACAGATATCCTCAGCAGTGAAGGGGAAATACCAATTATGAGACCTATAAAGAGAACATATTTTAAAAGGTAGTCAGATTTTCTTGTACATATGAAAAGTTGGGTTACTTAAGTGATTTGGACTAATGTGAAGCACCTTTTAAAAAGAACCTTAAACAAAAGAAACTGTAAATAAAAATGTTCTTTATAGGAGAAAACACTGACCTACACTTGGAGATACCTAGCCACAATCGGAGAGATTGGCTGCATGAAAATTATGCCCAAAATGTTATGACGAAACAACATTGTTTATCCATAAAGATGTTACTCATCCCAGCTGTAGCCACTGCTAAACAATGGTTTAAGAAAATAGTTTTTTAGATGTGGCGTATGCATTTTAACTGTCCCCTCCAGCAGAGATGTCTCAATGGGGTCATAATATTGAAAAAGTACATCCTTCACTGGGGAGGCTGAATCCTGGAGGGCAGAGATGATCTTCTTCGCATTTGTATTCAGCATGTAGTGCTTCTGACACCATAAGCAGACAAGAAATAATAATTTTTAATTGGCATTTATAAATACGTTAGCGATACCCACAACTACTGAAATTATATTAAAACCATCAACTACATGTTAAAAATAAATCAAACATTTAATGAATACCCTTATAGATGAAATAAAGTTTACCACTCTATTCTAGACATAAATTAATTACCAGAACTTTATGTCAAATGGTAAAGTTGATCTAAAAGGAACTGTACTTGTTATTGCAGGTTTGGTTACAAAAGTACGGCTACCTCCCACCAACTGACCCCAGAATGTCGGTGCTGCGCTCTGCAGAGACCATGCAGTCCGCCCTAGCGGCCATGCAGCAGTTCTATGGCATAAACATGACAGGAAAAGTGGACAGAAACACAATTGAGTAAGTAATGGCATCCGGACTCCTTCCTTCTTTGGTCTTTGCGCCAAACTAAGTACTGTAGTCAAAAAAACACTTTACAGGAACTCTGGCCACCACCAATGGACTAATTTATTTGATTAACTTTACTTTGGAATTAATCCTGTTTTTAACGCCAGTCTTCTGATATTCCCAACAACACGTAAGGTCCAAAGTCATGTTGACTCACCTGATTTTGGCAACACATTTTTAAACCAGGAACAAAAGTAAGAATGAGAGCCAAAGTAGGTGAAAAATTATATTGTACAAGAAAAATTATATTGAGTGACACATCTGGTTTATATGCCTGGTGAGAGTGCTTCATATATATCTTTTCCCAAATCTTTGTTAAGGAGTGTCATGTAAGTAGCTTCAAATTGGCCAGAGTGAAATTGTTTGCATAATGGAAATTGAGGAACAATAGAAACTAGGGTTCTTATTGTGGGTAAGAGGCACTATGTCGGACACAGTTGTTAAGAGTTTACTGACTGTTAGGAGTTCCTTTCTGGTGACAGTTCTCCAGATGAGATAAATCAAATGAGGGTTTTCACTAGAAAGTCTCTATTTTCAGTTTCTTATTAACAAAGACCATGTTCTTTAATAATTTTTAATAATAATATTTATCATTTATTCATTCATCAGTCATTGCTTCATTTATTTATTTCACTAGTAACTCCTTACTAGGCAAGTTATCTGTGAGAGGATTTATCAGGTTCAGAGGATAAGAGGTGTTTGCCAGAAGGAACTTTGTTGTGTGCACAGATACCCATAGTCACACATTATTTGGCACAGGAACACAGTAAATTCTGTAACATTATGAAGCAGTATTGTTGTTTCCAGACAGCAAAGGAGGAAATGATTAATTTTTTTCAGTGGAGGGAAAAATTATTTGTTTTCAGAGCCCTTGATAATCACAAATCAAATCTATTTCTATTATTTCTGTTTAGTTTGATGATGAGATATCAGCCTCCTCATTGGGGAAGGCAAGGATATATTTTTCTCTCTACTTTTCAAATAAAGGAAGTGAATGTCAGAGGCTGAGTGACGTTCACAGCAGCTGCAGGACCAGGGTTGCTTGATGTTTAGTGTGGGGAAATTACCCCACTGTGCACCTCAAAAATAACAGTTTTCCATTTACACATTCAATACCTGACACATCTAGACCTAGGCATAATTATGACATGCCAAACTGATTTAACCTGTAATTATGAAATTATATTTTGCTTTCTAATGCTTAAATGACATGATTCATAGTACCTCTATTTCATCAAGATAGGAAAACACAATAAATACTTTGAGATTAAATTTCAAATCAGATTAAAAATATATTATCTCCTGTAGTACTTTTAAGAGATGCATAAATATTAACTTTGATCTACACCTTGGAAACAAAATCAAGAAAATATATAACACATTCTTTAATAATTAGAAATAATACATAGATAAAATTTTGATATTTCAGATGTGCTGATTTTTAATCATTGAAATTATATGTTATTAGTTTAATATAAAATATTTATTTTAGGCAATAAAAAACCTCTTGTCCTAAATACATATGGTTGTAAATTAATAAGAAAAAAACCTCAGGTGAGTTGTGTATTTTCTTGCTGTGCATAGTGCAGAATTCCATTTAAATTACGCTCTTCATCCCAACATGTTACGAATGCTATGGGTAATTTTTTGATTACTTGTTGGAGAACTATTACCTTCTGATTCACTTTGTTGAAAAATCCACAGTTTTTAGAAATACAAATTAATTAAATATTTGGAAAGCAAATTATTTTAAATGGCTTACCTATACAACTTGACTAGTGTCAGAATAATAAGGAATTATTTAGTATTTACTTGTAGAAATCAAAATTAGGAGAGTAGAGTGCCAAAGAGGAGTACCTGTTTCTGCTAATCTTTAAAGCTCCTTTTGGAAGAATTCAAGACAGTTAGGTTTGACTTCCTGAAGCACCTAGAGAGAGAATCTTTGTAAGGAGATAATAAAAACAGCACAAGTACAGGATTTATATAGGCCCTTCATGTGGAATGGGGTCTCAACGATTTTTTATTGTCTGGAGGAGAAGGGGCTGTAGAGAAAAACATGGCGGAATAGAGAAGCACATAGGTCTTTTTCAGGCAGAGAATAACTCAGATTCTGGACCAAACAAAATGATAGTGTGGGTGCAGAGCAGGTAAAATGTCATTTCTGTGATATAAAATTATAGAAAAAAGATCAACTATAGAGGCAAATCTTTGTTTAAAACCAAAGGAGTGTCACTTGGTTTTGCTTCTTTGTTTTTTTGGTGAATTTTTTGTGTGTTTTAACAAAACATTCTCTAACTCAGTTTGGAGGTGGTTTTCATGTAGGTGTTTCAATCAGTAAAGCATACTTCCTTTAAAGAGTACCATACCTGGCAATTGTTTTCAGGAGAAACCACAAAGCCTGGTTCAGAGCCTCTTATTTTCCCTTCCTTATTTACCACACCTCTGAAGATCCCACGTGGGCTTGGACTTCTCCCTCACTATCACTCTAGCTGTGAACAAACAATTTGGGTCCCCTTGTTTTCTGTCTGTATTTTCTGTGGATCAGTCTCTCTTCCTCAGGTGTTATTGCTCAGATTATTCATATCAAATAGTATTCCATTTTTGGTAATATAATCCCCATAATGATGCTATTAAAGCAATCAGCTGTGGTTTTGTAATTTCAAGTGAATGCATAGTAACTGCACATGCTGATTTTATAGTCTGTTATTTTATCTAGTTAAATTATAAGGTTTAGATTTTTATCTGAGCCTTATTATATAAAATATGGACTAGAGTTAGAGACCTAAAATTATTCTTCCATTTTAAAATAATGTTTTATTATCTATTTTCAGATGCTATAAACTTATCTAATTGTAGATTCTTCAACATGTTTTTAAATTAAGTAATTATATCCTCCTTTAGCAGGGAGACATGTGGTAAATTTAATTTGTAGTACTTGGATAATTAAAAGTGATGATTACAATTGTGATGATCTTTATATTATGTTGAAGAAATTAACCATTTTCAAGTAACAAATTTTCTATTACCAAAAATGGCATATTATATTGCTTTTATATTAATTAGAACTAGTGGAGAGAGAATAATATATAAGTATTCCTTACCAAAAGTGAATCCATTATTTATGTTGCAATGGTTCTTTTAAATTGTGAGTTAGCTAATTTTTGTAAGCACTTTATTTAAATAATAAATGTCACAGTCTGTAGTATTTATGGAATGGTGTTATTAACAAGAAAAGGAAAATGGCAAATCAAAAAGGAAATTACTTTTATATGTTTTATAATGTTAATAGTATTTTAACATTTTAGTTTATGTTTCCCATGTACACAGTTGTATGGACTGAAGCATGCTTGGTGAGAGATTACTTCTTAAAGTCATCAAGTTTTGAAATCCCTCCACTCATATGTGTATGTAATATGCATACATACATACATATGTTTGTATGTACACACTTACATGTGTATCTGCTAATGCACTGTACTGGATAAGTAATTTTGGTTAGTTTATTCAAACCGTGCCTAGAAATTTTACTTCATTAAAGTTAACATTGAATAAGTACCTTCAAAAAAAGCATTAATAAAATGAATAAATAAATAATAAATTTAAAAAAGCATCAATATGAAACTGCAGCAATTTTTTACCTCTTAATTTGATATTTATAGTATCTGTATGTACCAAGAACTACAAAAGTTTGGGATTATCAACATACTTAATACTTTTTATTCTTCTGTTTAAATTATCACATTAATGCTGTATCATCTCTTTCAATTCATACTTAAAATATGCATTGTTCCATGAAGTTTTAAAAGCTTTTCTGAATTTTATGATGATATCCAGACAGTATAACATTGTGGGATGGTTTCACTCTCATTTGGTAATGAAAAAACAGAGATTATAAAGGATAGAGAAAGGAGAGGTCTTCGATTCTAGAAGGTGAAAGGATTAATAAGCACACACACTGGAACTTCTGTTCTCACTGAAGATCAGGACTTAATAGATTTCTGCTCTGCCCTTGAATTTGGTGCTTTCGGCCTTGTGAGTCACATGTGTGTGTGTCTCTACAGGCAGTTAGTGACTTGATAGAAAAAAGCAGCTCTGGGACAGAGTCAGCTGTCAGCCATGAGGATGTTGGGCTCCAGTTAAATTTGCCTTTAAAAACCTTATGCAGCCTTTGTCTAATTCTGTCAATAAGCAAAAAACCTCAAAACAACTTTAAAATACTGTAATGAAAACAAGCACATTCCAACATTTCTACAAGAATCTGGCAGACAACTGTAAGTAGTAGATACTACTCTTACCTTTAAGGGAACTTTGCAGTCTGAAGGAGGCAAGCTTGTCTTACCTATTGTGAATATTGTTCTTGGACTCATAGTTGATGAAACGTAAAAGTGATTTGGAAGGGCCAGGGATTTAGCTCAGTGGTTCCGCCGCCTGCCCTGCAAGGGCAAGATCCCGAGTTCGATCCCCCATACCAAAAAAAACCCAAAATTGATCTAGGAATTGCTTTTTTCCCTTGACAAAGGCAGCGAGAAGTACACCTCTATGTGGTGCAATTCCAACTACAAGGGTGACATTGCCACTGCATCCTACTGCAGTGCCGCTTTCTGCGGCCCCACTGTGGGGCCGCCAGGGACGTGGGTTGCAATTCTGAGGGTCTGCTTGGAATCACAGAGTGGGTGGCCTTATATGTCTACCATGAATACTTAGCCCATTTTTAAATAAAAGAGTTTTATTGAAGCTAGTAAATGCTGTTCCATATGCAGCGTACATAACACAAATTTGTTTATAATAAATACATGGCTACTTTATTTACATAAATCAGAAGAAAATGTGACTGTTGGTGTCTCTACTACTCTACTATCAAACTACCAGAAAGATCCTGTTTTAAATAACAAATTTTTGCATGCTGATAAAGTACTCAAAGTGAGCTGAAACATGTTGATTTCTGCATGTAGCTACTATTGCTGGTGCTTCAACTATTGTTAGTATGATTACTTTCTCATAAAACAAATGATCATCATTATAAGTTGATAATAGCAGTTAATATCTTTCAGACTCTCTTTTACATGATTTAACTGATTTTATCCTTACAATGTCTCAGAAAGGGAGGTTAATATTATAATCTCCTTTTTATAGATGAGGAAAATAAGGCATACAAAGAAACAGTGACCTGATTAATGTCATAAAGCTGTTAAGTGAAAAGATTCAGGGTAAATGTCATACAGTTTAAGTTTTTCATGCTGCTCAAGAACATTGAGTTTAAATTTTTTTCAAGTTAAATTGATTTACATGATGACATTAATGATCTTTTGAACTAAGCAAAAATGGTCATGTTCCAAAAATATTTTAAGTAATTATTGCAAATCACTATTTTTATGAAAATTAAAATTAGGCTACTATTTATATCTTTATAATTACAAAATGCCTTTCTCATTGTTTTTTTACTCTCCTTTCAGGGTCACTTCCCCATATCTTTACTTTCCAATTCAACTTAAAATTCTTTCAGTTAGTCTGTATAGAAGTACAACATTTAAAGCCATGTGTCAACATATGAAAAAATAAGTGTGTTTGAGCAAGGATGCTGCCACACAGCACTGCCTAAAAGTAATATATTACGAAAAGAAGTGGCAACTAGTTTTTTCAATTGCTAGTTAGGAATAAGCAAATATATAAATATAAGTATATGTCACATAATAACTTCTGCTTCTTTTATGTATCAAGTTAACAAACATTGCAAACATTGGATAAAAACTTTGGTGAGGTTAACCATAGAATATTCTCAATTTGATTAACCTTTGTTAGGAATTCTTGGCATTAAATTGTTAGTTGATGTTAGATGATACCTGTTGTGTTTATTTCTTACATTTAAGTTAAATACCTCATAAGTTTTATACATTAAATGTCCATATTATATCCATATAATAAGCATAGAGCCAGAAAGAGTTTGAAGTCCTCAAGAAAGAGAGGATATTGAAGGAGATCAGTAGATGTAAAAAGACACATAGGTTTGGTTCATTTGCTTCTTGTTGCTTATTGGAGACCTCCTTAGGCCCTGACCAATGTAAGGTTCTTTACCCTCAGAGATCAGAGGAAGACAGAGACAGATGCATGCAAATCAGAACACACAGAGCAATGTGTGCAGCACTGAGAGAGTAAGCTGTATCTATGTAAGTTGAATATAAAGAATGTTTGGAATTCTTAAGGTGAATAAGGAGAAAAAGTAAGTCCAAGTGGAGGTTATTGTGTACAAAGGCAAGAAGAGGCTTGATTCTATAGAAACCCATGGGGATCTTGGGGAGTAACAGGACAGGAAATGCTCTCTCTAAGTAGGGCTGAGTCATATTCTTACTGTAAAGGCATTTCATGTGCAGCACATATAAAAGATAGATCTTCTCTTTGGGAAGATTTCACATTCATGGTGAAAAGGAAGGCTGTCATGGGAATTAGAGATATAAGAGACATTTAGAGGATGACTAGACTGCGGCATGAGTAATTGGATGAAAACCTGATTATCTGGCCTGAATATTAGAAGGTCCTAAGGCTTTTATGGGCTCAGTGTACTGGTGCAAGGCAAGCTTGCAGTAGAAAAATAATAATATTCATTTCAATGAATGTAACTGTATTGGATACCTAAAATGTACCAATATACTTAATGGAAACAAAAAGAAAAATAATAATATTCATTTCATTATATGTAATATTACTGAAATGAACATGATGTCTTGGTACAGATGTGAGATGTGAGAGCACTTATTCCAGACTTTCCTTGGTATCCACAGAGGATATGTCTCTTGGTACTCACTGATGCAGTTATCAAAATCTGTAGATGCTGAAGTCTCTTATATAAAATACTAGTGCATGTGTATAACCTGAGCACATTCTACTGTATACTTTAAGTCATGTCTACCTAACTTGAAATACCTAGTACAATGTACACTTAATATAAATAATTCCTGTACTATGTTAGGGAAACATGATGAGAAAAAATAACCTATACGTGTTCATATCGGCACAATTTTTTCATCACTAATTTGCAAGGTGCAGTTGGTTAAATCTGCTATTGTGATTTCTTTTGTCATACAGAATTTACCTGTAGACTATGAGCTTAACAAGGAAAAGGCCCTTGACTTGTTCATCTTTTTATCCATATTTTTATATCTCAACGTGTTATAAAAGCTAAAAAAATGAAGGTAGGATGAACATAGCTGTAGGATGAATGGGTCAGAATGAAATGAGTAAGTGAATAAAGAAATGCTTGGAACACTAAAAAAAAAATATATGACATGGGCAAAGTCCTAAGAAATATACTAGGAATTTAGCAGAGAGGTCTTTTAGCATAAGAATCTTATATTCATCCATGAAAACTCTGTCCTTTGAAAAATGCACACATTTTGCTGAAAAAATAACGTTTAATCTATGGCATAAAGTGCAAGTTATATTAATTTAATTTTAACTTACTGCTATTTTCTAATTTTATGCATATTAAAGTAATTTTAGAGAATATATTCACTTTGAAAATATTTTATCCTGACAATAGCTAATTTTACCTTGTCAATTTTTATCCATATATCCATTTGAAAATTGTTTCTCTTTATTCTAGGGTACTTACTTAAGTATTTTCCTTAAGTGAATGCAAATATAACCATATCTGATAGTAACTATAAATATGTTCACATTTCACAATGATATATGCCATTTATTTGGCCTGTACTTTAGAAATAAGTAAGAATAGGTACCTTTTTAAGGAAAATTATAATTTTCAAGAATATAATTAATGAAATACCCATATATATAAGTAATTGAAATCATCATAGACACACCATTAATGCTTAATATTTGCTAGTTCACTCAGCATGTTAGTCAAAAACTATGCAATAAAATAAGAATTTTGACTAAAAATCTGTGTCTTTACCCTTCCATTCAGTGAATACTCACTACTTAACTTCTAATATTGAGTATTGAATACTCAATACTTACTTCCAAGAATTGTGCAAGGTAATGGGAATATGTAAACCCTCTGCCTTTATTTTTGTGAAATATCACTCAAATTCAGAGGTTTTAAGAATGCCCTGGAAGCATTAATGAAAAATAAGAGCTCTCCATCCTCTCCTCTAGAGAGTTCTATACCATAGAACAGGAAGTCCTTGCAGTTACCATTTATGGTAAATTTCATTTGATTGGGAGACATTAATAAACAGAATAATTTTCCAAAGTAACTCTAGAATGTATTTAGACTACAGTAGAACTTCTTCAATCTGGTAACTGCAATGTCCACATTACTGAGGGCAAAATAAAAAGCAGAAAATTTTAATGTTTATTGAAAAAATGTCATCTTTCTTAAGAAGTAAAAAATATCATTCCACTAGTGCATGAAGTTATTCCTGTGTTTGTAAAAACACATTAGCTGATTTATCCAAGTAACATGTAAACTATTTAAATTCATTTTCTCAAATAACTATCTTTAGATCATCACCTGATGTTCAATTTCATTTAGAGAGTACAGAAATTATTAAGGACCTGATGAAATACAGCAGCATTCATTCTTTCCAATATCTGAATCATGTAGCCTTGCAGATTCAGCATTAACTGTGTAAGTATTAAGGAGCCAATGAATAGGAAAAGCCATTTTGTAAAGCACTACAGAAAACCTACTCTCAATCTGAAAATATTTCTCCTTACACAAGACCCCAAAATAGAAAATATGGTAATGCTCGAGAGAAGTATAGAAAATAAGATAGAATACAATATCTCAATAAGTTTTGAAAGCAGAACTTCATTTTTCACATGTAAATGTTGAATCTTATTTGTGTGATAATAAATCTCACATTTGGGGAAATACTTTTTAAGAATTACATTTCATGGGCCAGAATTTAGCTCAGTGGTTCCAGCACCTGCCTCAAAAGTGCAAGGTCCTGAGTTCAACCCCTGGTATCAAAAAAAAAAAAAAAAAAAAGAATTATATTTCATTATCATCAAAGACTCAAAGCAAACAGCTGCTACTAAGAAATTGAAATAATGATCAAAAGTGAAGAAAAAAATGGAAATTGCAAATGTTATATGAACAAACAATTCATTACTTTTTAAGCTAGTAGAGAGTATCCTATTGACTCCTGGAATTCAAAGTCATGTAGCAGATTAAAAAAAAGAAACTGAGTGTAAAGTTGTGTGACACTTAGAGACCTATCTGAATAACACTAGGAATTGATGACTTGCTCAAAGCTACATGCCTTATTAGCAATCAAATATATTTAGAAGCTTTAGGGTATTTCAGTCTGCAGTTACTATAAAATGAATTGGAGAGAAGAAAATTATCTAGTGGATGTGAGTAGTAAACTAGTGATTATTGATCTTTCTGAAAAAATGTCTCCATTCAAGTTGCAAGAAAATTTGAATTTTGATTTGCCATTTTCATCAGCATTGTTTCAGATTAACCTCTTAACTGATTACCTTTTGAAATTAATGAAGATAATTATTGGTAAATAACTGGAAATTACTGCTTTTTCAGCTGGATGAAGAAACCTCGATGTGGTGTACCTGATCAGACAAGAGGTAGCTCCAAATTTAATATTCGTCGAAAGCGGTATGCATTAACAGGACAGAAGTGGCAGCACAAACACATCACATACAGGTATAAAAATAATGACAAGTTCCTTATTTATGGATTTTTTTCTTGCTATTTGTTATGAACATGGACTACATGTTAACATACAGTGATGTGATGTTATCATGAGAATTTAAAGCTGTTACTGAGAAGACAATAAATTGACTACAATTTGGGATTTTGTAAGCAGTCTTTAAAACAGTTGTTCAAATTTGTATACTGTCTTTCAGCTTCCTCAATTAATGCCACTATTTTGAAGGATGAGTATTCTAACATGTTACATTCTCTTCTAAGAATTCATCCTCTAAAAAGGAATAAAATATATAGATAACTACATTTTCCACAAGATGGCTTTGAATTTGTTAACTTTCAGTATTTGACCATTTTATTTTCAATTATGTTGATAACTATTCAAGCAGATTGTGTCTTTTGTGTTGTTACCAATGATGCAAAATGCTTTGCAAGGTAGAGTGACAATTGCTGTTAATAGAGGTGTTCATGTTTATTCATTTATTCATTGAACTACTGGCTATTTGCTTTCAGTATGAATAACAAACAGTCCTAGGGCCTGAGGATATAGAAATAAATAAAACATTGGGACAATGTGTGTCATCATGGAATTTACAATAATATGGAGAAGTTGAACAATAATATAAATGTGATAGCTCATAAAAACGAAGGAGCAGGAAACAAGAGAAACATATCCAGTCTTCCAGCCCATTCTAGAAAACTAGAGAAGGTCTTAAGGAAATTACCTTTAGTCAAGATGCATAGGAAGATGAAGAATTTATTGTGCCAGTGGGCAGAAGATTAAAGGTACTTTGGGGAGAGTGGATATCAGGAACTATCTCTGTCAAATTACATGACTAGAAGAAATACTTTCATAATAATCATTTTTCATATAAATACTCTTCATGGGTGCCTAAAACTAAAATTAAAATTTTAATATATTAGTTTATTTTATCTATATAACTGGAAGGTACACTTGAAGTTACTTTGATTATTTTGGAAATATTTTTCAGTGTTATTTTAGATTCTTATGCTATCTTACCAGATAGCAGGACCACAGATTATTGTTTTATGCAAATTATTTAAATTATTTCTGCAGATAAATCAAAGACAAAGCTACTTTATGCCAACTCCATTAAGTTGGTATTCACCACAATTTACATTTGTTTGTAGCAGCTTTTACAAACTTATTTAGCTATCTCTAAAGTAATATGCTAATGAATTAATATGGAATTGAGTTTGTATATCCCTAATAAGGATACTATGGAGTTTTTAATGTACACAGGAACTTTCAACTCATTAATATAAACACCCAGGAGTGTAATTACTAGTAATATATTAAGACAAGGATTAACTTTGAGAGAAACTGCCAAAATATCTCCCAAAGTGCCTATCCCATTTTGAATTTTCACCAGCAATAATTTCAGCTCCTTTTTTCCTACAATCTCTCAGCAGTTAGCACTGTCAGTAATTTTAATTGTAGCTATTATAAGGAAGGTATATTGATAAGTAATTGGTTTTGGAATGAAACAATTTTATTGAGATAAGTTATTTAATTTGCTATTCCCTAATGAAATAAAATGCTGAGCAAATTTTTATATGCTGATGGGCCACCCCTGGTTATCTAGTTTGTTGTGATGTGTGTTCAAATATTTTCATCAATTTCTCATTGGCTTTGCTTGCTTTGAGAGTTCTCTGTACTCTTTACACAAGTCTTTTAGCAGTCATGTTTTCAACTATTTTCTCTTTACAATGTCTTTTACAGAGCAAAAGTTTTAATTTTAATGAAGTTCTCCTATTTTTTTCTTCCTATATTGTGCTTCTGTTATTGAATCTAAAAAATATTAAAAATCTTCATCAACACCAATGACACTCAGAGTTTCTTGTGTTATCTTCTGAAAGTTTAATAGTTTTCTGTTTTGCATTTAGGGCTATGACCTATTTAGAGTTAATTTTGAAGTAAGGAATAAATTGGGTATCTAGCTTCATTTCTTCCACATTTATATATGTAAATGTCCAGTTATTTCAGCACCATTGCTAAAGACCATCTTTATTTTATTCATTAAGTTTATTGGTACATTTTATGTATACATTATAATCACATCCATCATTGAGAATTTGAAACTGTACATGATATATCTTGGTTCTTGTTTTTTCCCATTCCCTTTTCCTCCCTTCCACCCCTCCACGCATTCCTATTTACAAAAGCGTTGTTTATTTTTTTCCATCTTTTCTCATTTTTTTCCTTTCCCTTCTTTCCCCTCTCCCACCCCCAATTCCCCTTCCACTTTGAACATCTTCTTCCTATTTCACAATATCTGTTAAACATTTTGGTTCTCATTTACACTTTCAGTTTCTCATAGCAAAGAAAAAATTTGGTATTTAACTGTGTGTCCTATTTATTTTACTTAAAACTATGGTTTCAAGGTCCATCCATTTAACTATAAATGTCTCTAGTTTATGATTCTTTATGGCTGAGTAGTACTCCATTTTATAAAACAAGACACATCTTCTTTATCCAGTCAGCAGTCGATGGGCATTTGGGTGGTTTCTAAGACTTAACTATTACAAACTGTGCAGCTATAAACATGGGTGTGCATATATCACTATGGTATGATGTTTTTAATTCTTTTGGGAAGATACCAAGCAGCAGAATAGCTGCATCAAAAGGAACCTCTAGTTTTAGATTTTGAGGAATCTCCACACTGATTTCCACAGTGGTTGCACCAGTCTATGCTCCCACCAATAGTGGAGAAGGGTTCCTTTTTTATCCACAGCCCAGCCAGCATTTGTTATTGATTGGTTTCTTGATAGCAGCCATTCTTTCTGGAGCAAGGTGGAATCTCAGCATTGTTTTAATTTGCATGCATTTAATAACCAGAGATGTTGAACATTTTTTTCATTTGTTTATTTGCTGCTGCTACTTCTTTGTCTGAAAAATGTCTGCTCATTTTAGATGCCCATTTTTGGATTGGGTCTTTAAGTTTAGGGTGGTGATTTTTTTACAATTTTTATATGTTTAGATATTAGCCTTCTGTCTGAGGAACAGCTGGTAAAAATTTTTCCCATGTTATGGGTTGTCTTTTCATTATGTTGATGATTTTTCTTACTGCACAGAAGCTTTTTAATAACATGAGATCCTAGTTGCTGATTCTTTGTGGTAGTTCCCGTGTGACTGGGGTTTTGTTCATAAAGTCTTTTCCAAAGCCAATGTCTTTTAGAGTTCTACCTAACTTCTCTTCCAACTGGTTTAGGGTTTCTCTTTTAATATTTAGATCTTTGATCCATTTTGATTTTGGTTTAGGGAATGGTGAAAGATTTGAGTCTAGTTTGAATCTTTGGCAAGTTGAAACCCAGTTTTTTCAGCACCAATTTTTGAAGAGGCTATCTTTCCTCCAGTGAGGGTGTTTGGCTCCTTTGTCAAAGATAAGGCAGCTGAGTATGTCTGGAGTTGTTTCTGCATTTTCTAATCTGTTCCATTGATCCCCAGATCTGCTTCTTTGCCAGTACCATGCTGTTTTTATTATAGTAGCTTTGTAGTTGGGGATTTTCATACCCCCTGCCTTGTCTTTGTTGTCTAGAATTGCTTTTGCTATTTTAGGTCTCTTCTGGTTCCAAATGAATTTTTGTACTGTTTTCTCTAGATCTGTGAAATATGCTATTGGAATTTCAATCAGGATTGTATTGAATCTATGTAGCAGTTTTAGAAGTTAGGCCATTTTCAGTATGTTGATTCTCCCTAACCAGGACCAAGGGATATCTTCCCATTTTCTGATATCCTCTTCAATCTCTTTTTTCAGAGTGCTATAGTTTTCCAACTAGAAGTTTTTACTTCCTTCGTTAGATTGATTCCTAGGTATTTCATTTTTGGGGGTGGCATTGTGAAAGGAGTTGTTTCCCCAGTTCCTCTCTCAATAAGTCTATTGTTCGTGTATAAGAAGGCTATTGATTTTTGCACCTTATATCTAGCTACTATACTGAATTTGGTTATTAAGTCTAGAAGACTTTTGGAGGAGTTTTGGGGTTTTCTATACAGAATATCATGTCATCCACAAATAATGACAATTTAACTTCTTCATTTCCTCTTTATTCCTTTTATTTCTTTCTCTTTTCTAATTGCTATGGCTAATGTTTCCAGAACTATATTGAACGGGAGTGATGATAGTGGAATTCCTTGTCTTGTTCCTTATTTTAGCATGAAAGATTTCAGTTTTTGACCATTTAGTATAATGTTGGCTGTTGGTTTTTCATAGATGGCTTTTATCAACTTGAGAAAAAGACCATCTATTACAATTTTCTTTGGGTTTCTTTTTTTATTATGAATGGGTGTTAGATTTTGTGAATACTTTTTCTGCACCGTTTGAGATGATCATATGGATTTTGTCCTTGACTCTGTTAATATACTGTATTACATTTATTGATTTATGTATGTTGAACCAACCTTGCTTCCCTCAGATCAATCCTACTTGATTAGGGTGTACGATCTTCCTGATAATCTTCTGCATTCTGTTTGCCAATGTCTTATTGAGGATTTTTGTGTCTATATTGATTATGGAGATTGTCCTGTAGTTTGCTTTTTTGGTTGGATTTTTCTCTGCTTTTGCAATCAAGATAATCCTTGTTTCTAGGAATGAATTTTGGAGTATTTCTTAACTTTCAATTTCATTAAAGAATTTGAGCAGTAGTGGTATTAGATCTTCTCTAAATTTCTTGTAGTATACAGCAATGAAGCCATCAGGACTTGGGCTTTCTTTGTAGGTAAGTTTTTAATTACGTTTGTAATTTCATTGATTAATATTGGATTTTTTTGAATTTTCATATCTTTTTTTTTCACTGTTAGGAATTCATATATCTAGAAATCTTTCCATTTATTCTGTGCTTTCCATCTTATTGGAGTACAGGTTCTCAAAGTAGGTCTTGACAATCTTCAGGATTTCTGCAGAATCTGTTGTGATTTCACTCTTTTCATTCCTAATTGCATGGATTTGAGTCTTTTCTTTCCATTTTTTGATAAGGCTGGCTAAGGGTTTGTTAGT